CATGTAGTTACAAAAAAACAAAAACAAACTGTCTTATTACTAATATCACTTTACAAGTATTATTTTTATTAACAAAACAACGATCACATTAGTGAAATGATTTGTTCTTTTATGTGGTGCAGACAGCACCTCAGTCTGGTGACATCTCCATGTCAACGATCACATATAGAAGTAAAAGATGTGGGTCAGGCAAGGTGTCACATCGTGGCCGTCCCACATAACAGGCACACTTTGACACCAGCTTCAGCACGTGCCTGTTGTGACACCGCCCTCCCGCAGGTCACACTATCGTACAACTATTGAGTACACATCAATCCCAAATTCTAATCAATTGGTTTTGTCTGGAGGTAGCTGGGTACTGTGAGGTTAATCATGCGGTTTCATGGACAGTTTTCAAATTATATTGTCTGGAACTAGCAGTCAGATTGTGATGCACTTGTTTCCGCTTTATGAAGAAGCAACACTTGATAATATTCTCTCTGTGTTTTACAGTGATACCAATCTTTAGAACCAGGGTGCTGCTCTGATCGCGTCTATTCCAGAGGTTCCAGATGTGTTTAATGCTGTAAAGGTTTGTTCAAATACAAACAAACTAATTCTCCTATCAAGAAGTCTGCTGTTTTGATTATTTCAATATAAAATTAGTCAGTAAAAGGTCATTTATTCGCTTTTCCAACCTTCGCTAATGAATTACCTTATAAAATGAATAAATCCTAATTACAAATGACAAATGTTTATTGATAATAAAGCAACAAGCCGGGCCAGACAACGCAGTCTCTGAAAAGGCCTCATTGAGGAGCAGTGGTTGTGAGCGTATTTTGAACAAAGTTTGTTGTTAATTTCTGATGTTTTCTTCGCCTTTACAACATCATCAGAGAGCTCATAACAGGTAGAAACAGCTAAGTGTGGAGGGAGGATGACAGTACACGACCGTACAGTGTTTTTATTTACCGGAGTAGCTCGGAATGGGAACTAAACAAATTTGGCATGCTGAAGCTGGAATCAAAGGAATTGTCTGCCTAGGTTCCAAAATATCAGTTTATTGATATTTATAATGACCTGGCCTTCTGTTATTGTGCTAAAAGTAGACCATAGCAAAGCAAGTTCAGTATTTCTAGTTTTATGGGCTAGAGATACTGAACTTGAGCTGACAAGACACCAAGACTAACTGTAAACATACATTTTACAATTCAATCTCAAGCAAGTTTAATGCATTACAAATAAGCATGGACAATAATAATAAAAAAAACTTGAGAAATCTTTGGCTATGCAGCTATAATTACGTATTAACATACAAGCATGCAGATATGAGAAGGAAAAAGTCACGTCTTTAATTGCGTGTTTTAAAGGGTTTGGCTGCACGCGAGCAAAACACAAAAGAATGACTTGAATTACAAACAATTCAGCTTTTTATAATTAAACTGCATTCATGAACAATAGCTGGCAGGCAAAAGGAAATCTTGACCTTGGCATTTTCTTGTTAAGCTGAAAGTCCAGGAAATCTGGCAGCTACCCACTGAGGCCAAATCGGTAAACATGGTGACAGATTAACAGACTGTACAGTGAGTGTGCAAAATCTACCTGCTGCTGAAGATCAATTAAAGCACCTCTAACAGCACTATATTATAAACAGAAATAAAAGGCAGACTTAAGGCCACCTTAATTTTTTTCCTTCCTGGTCTCATTATAAATCTAACTAAGTATAGGAAGGGAAAAAAACAATTTTTTTTCAACGGGTGCAACTTGAGACCTCCGTCTAATTTTAAACTCCTATTTAAACATTTATGACTTGGCAGACTCTTTGTCCGAGGCGACGTACAAATAAGGAAAGAATCCACGCTGGAGTTGACTGAGAAGCCTTTTAAGCAGGTGAATAAACACTCATCTCAGTGTTCAGCTTCATAAGCATATAACGAAGAACTTATACTTGAAGCTAGAATTGAGTATTACCTTTTACCACTGCTTTAAAACATTATAGATGCTTTTCAAAATAAATCCTTCATGTGTTATATAGTAAAAGGGTTGTGACTTATCGACTAGGGACAGATGAGGATCTTGAGTAAGGTAAAACCAGCTGAGTTCTGGACGTCTGACTGACTGCATGACATTTAGATTGACAGCTAATTTTCCACTCCACTCGGCCCATTAAAAAACACACACACACACACACACACACGAGGATGTTTGGAGCACATGTGGAGGACAGTCAGAGGACAAACATGACCAGACTACTAAGTAGGAAGATAAAAGTGGAAGGGGGATAGATAAGAGTGAAAGTTGGTATGGAAAGTGGAGGCACACGCACACACGCTCATCTGTTGTTACATCATAGAGTCGCGAGGTAACTGTGATTTGACAGAGAGGCATTTACAGCACTGTAAATCCTCTTATCACCACACTCACACCGTTACATCACTATCTATTTACCTCATCAACCACTCATGATCAGCCAGCTGGTTTTGACCATTTTGCAAAAAACTGCTTTAATAAATCTCAAATACTTAAATTCCCAGTTTGGACCAGGGAAGAACAAAAAACAAACAAAAAAAAAAAAAAAAATCAAGGTTCAGCAATTTGACAAGAAATCAAGAGCTGAGAGCGAAGAGGCCGAGTGTGCCGCTGCAGCAATGCTGGAGTCGTCATGACAACAGAGAGGGACGATGCACCGAGGGGAGTCGGAGGAGGAGAGCGGAGTTACATAACTGCCTCTGCAATTGAGGGGGTATCAGAGACAAAGACAGATGCTGACTTTCAAAGGAATGTTGTTGACGTGAAGTTTAACATATTAACAGAAATGTCAGCCGCGAATGATTTACACTCTTCAGTGTGCGATGTCGTCAGTCATCTGTTGTCTGTTTGGGGTTTAGTCGGCTTAAAAATAAAGAGTACTCAAATGTCAATCCTGGTCAGAGACTTTACTGCATTGACTTTAAATCTGCTGTAATCAATATTTCTGCATTAACCATGCCTTCGAGGACTATCTCACATGATTTATCCCCTCATACCTATGAATCCTATAAAGGCCTTAATTACTGTTCAACCGTAAACTTCAACTCTAGCGTCCAGAA